ATTACTTTATTTAATTAAGATAATATTACGCAGTTATTATATAAATAAGTAATTTTCCTACTTTTGCGCTAAGCTTATTATATAATTAGTAAGCTTCTATTTATTATTATATTATTATAGAAATTAGTTAAGTTATGCGTTTAGTCTTAGCGCATATAATATTAATATCTTTACTCTATGCTTTATGATCTTTTAATACTTTACTACTTAGCTTTAAGAATTTAACTTGCTAACTATAACTCTAGTAAGTCTTACTAATGGAAGAGATACTTAAGTATATTGCGCATACTCTATACTATATATTACTTTAAACTCTAAGCTATTAGTTATACTAACTTAGCTTTTTTGCAGTAAAAAAAAAAAGTAGTTACTTCTATATAAAAAAAGAACCTTAAGAACGCTTATACTATTTAGTTCTCTAAGATATCTAATTTAAATAGTACGTATATCTTAGCTTAAATTAATTAGTAGAAGTTAGCTTCTAAGAAGAGTAATTTAGTTCTAGATACTCTATCTAAGCTAGTTGCTAGTGCACCTTATAAGAGCCTTTACGCTAATTATATCTTTTAGTAGTTAAGTAACTTAACTAAGAATAAGCTTAAATATATTATTAAGAGTAGTAAGTTAAGTTATTATGCTGCTTATAACTCTAAGCAGTGTATTCTAAGGTATATTTCTTATCTTATTTTAGTTACCTCTTATACTAATTATACTATAGTATTAAGCTCTTTATAACTAAGATAATAGCTTTATATAACTACGCTATAAGTAATATAGTAACTATAACTATAAGTAATTATTAATCTTATTATAGCAGCGTTATACTAATCTTATATAGACTTCTAAGTATACTAATAGGCGCAATAATCTTATAGAAGAGATCTATAAGTATATTAGTAGTTATAATAAGCTCTTTAGCATTAAATATATATAATCTAAAACTACTGCATCTAAGTTAACTCTTAAGCATAAGAAGAAGGCTATAATAGTTATATCTTTATAATCTGCTCTAGATTCTTTTAGTTAGAAGATAGATTCTAATAGAAAGTTACTCTTAACTAATTTAACCTCTTTAAAGGTATCTGTCTATTAAGCTTCTATTTAAGATAAGAAAGAGAAAGAATAAACTAAGATACTTACTAGTAATTATTCTAGCTTAAGCTCTAGTTCTCTAGAATCTAAGCATAGTAAGCAGGCTAAGCCTTCTAATAGTAAGACTAATAAGCTTAATAGCGTACTTTAATAATAAGAGCGCTTTAACTTTAGCTAGCTTAGTCTTTACTACTTCTAATGCTTTTAATAATAAAATAGATTATATTAATACTTTTCTTAGCATAAATAAGAAATTAATTTATTCTAGTTATGCTGTATCTTCTTAACTATCTTAAGCTATACTTAGTAGCTCTATTTAGTATTCTACTAATCTAGAGTTAAGTTTTCTTTTAAGCAGCTTGCGTAAGTCTATTTATTCTACTTCTATTATGCCTAAAAAGGCGCTTAGAGAGAAGAGAAAGAATAAGGCTACTCTATTAAATCTCTATAAATTAAATTTCTCTTTTAGTTCTAAGGCAGTAGGCTTAAGTAGATTAAATAGTAGCTCTCTTTATACTAAGCTAATTATTTTAGTTCTACTAGTTCTTAAGTTATTTACTAAGCAAATTCTAGACACTTCTAGTATCTATAATAATTCTTCTATAGAGGCGTAGCATAAGCTTCTATCTTAGTTTAAGCAGAAATACTTATTTAATACTCTGCCTATTATTATAGGCAGCACTAGATAGAGCTATATTAATCTAACTAACTTTAATTTAGTAAAGAAAGTTAATAATAGTAGCTTTAATCTAGAGGTAATAAGATTAGAGGCTAAGGTAAAGAAGCTTATAGCTTATGCTACTACTACTTAACTTAATCTTAAGATATTTACTTAGGCTAAAGCTAATAAAGCAGCGCGTATAAAAAAGCTTTTTATTAAATAAGAGGTACGCTTTAAGAAGAAGAAAGCTAATTAAGAAGTATATCTAAAGAACGTTTCTTAACTTACTATAATTAAGTCTATTAAAACTAGCACTGCAGAGAAGCCTTACTAAGATTAATTAAAGTATTCTATTTTTAAGAAAACTAGGCTAGATTTAATTTACTCTTCTTCTTAGACTTCTTAGTAGTCTTATTAACTTTCTAATGCTAATTCTTAAGTTTCTAGATTAGTTAAGTTAAATTATTAGCTTACTACTACTACTTAGAGTTAAGATGCTTATAATAGTTAACTAGCGCTTACTTCTTCTGCCTCTAAGTTTAGTAGTAGTAATTAAGCTAACTATAGTAGTACTACTATCTCTTTAATTAGTAGTAAGAAGGTTATGCTATCTAGTTCTGCTACTCTACTATCTAATCTATTCTTCTTTAAGCTTTCTAATATAAATAACTCTACTACTAACTTTTTCTCTATTATAAATTTAGTAGATTACTCTAGTTATAGCTATGCTAATTACTATCTATTAGATAATTAAGAGGTATATTACTTTAACTAAGATAATATTATCTCTTTTACTTTATTTAAGAATAAGATAGTAAGGTAAGAGAGATATCTTAATTATTATAGAGTTTCTTAGAATTCTCTTACCTTTACTCTAGATATTTATAAGTAATACTATACCTTAGGTTAATCTAATTATAATAAGCGTTATGCTTCTATACTCTTTATTATAAAGAATTTAATATATCTTATATACATAGCTTTAGATCTTCTAGACTAAGTATCTTAGTTTAATCTTCTTACTCTTAAGTAAACTTTTTTTCTTTCTTAACGCTTTATGCGTAGTTCTTCTTACTTCTTATATAGATTTAATAGATTAAATAATCTTTTAGAGTAGCAGGCAGTTAATAAGGCCTCTTTTTACTCTACTTAAGCTTTCTTAGTCTTTAAGGCTCTTCTTAATAGTAATTAAACTAATACTATTATACTTTATTTCTATTACCTATAACTAATCTGATTATATTCTTAAAGTTTAAAAGCTACTTAAAGTAATTAAATTATTAATAAGTAAGAGCTTTAGTTAGTCTATCTGCTAGCATTTTCTTTATTAGTAAGTACTCTACTAAGAATAATCCTTTTACGTATTCTTATCTAAGCTATATATTTTATATATTAATATATTAAAGATAAGTTATAATTTACTTATTTTAACTAATAATAAGTCTAATTATTTGCTAGTTATTATACTAGATCTTCTATAAATTGCCTAGATTAAATATAAGGTTTATTAAAGAATCTTTTTAAAGCTATAGTTTCCTTTATAATATGCTTAAGTATAATAAGCTTAGCTTTAGTTATAGAGGTTATTACTATACTTTGCCTAGTAGCTTTTTATAGAATAGCTCCTTTAAAAAGCATAGCTATATATCTATAAGATAAGTAATAAGTAATTAAATTATCTGTAAATAATACGTCTCTATATATTATAAGATTAGATCTATTATAGTTACTATATTAGATTGCTTCTTATTATATATAATATAGATATATAATAACTTAATTAATTATGCTTATATATATTTAGCTAAGATTAGTTAAGTAGTATAATAGCTTTAATACTGCAAAGGCTATATCTAGGCGTAGTATTATTATAGTGTATAATGCTAATCTAACCTTTTTCTAGTAAAGCTTAATTTCTTATTTAGTAGCTTCTTTCTTAAACTTCTTAAGCTTCTCTAATAGTAGAGAGATAGCTAGAAAAGTTCTATTAATTAAGCTAAACTTCTTTATAATCTTTTTAATATAGGTATTATAGACTAGTATAATTATTCTCTTTTCTTAGTTTTTAATAATCTTTATACCTAAGAACTACTCTGCTAGCTCTTATTCTTATATTTTATACTTTAAGATAATTTTACTCTATATATCTTTTGCAAAGGCTTTGCAAGCCTTATAATATAGCAAAAGAATATTATTAACGTAGAAAAGTATTAGAACTTTCTTATCTTAGTTAAAGAAGAGATATAGTTCTTCTTTTAATAAGATAAGACCTAATAATTAAAGTATTTCTAAAAACTTCTTATACTATAGAAGTAGTAAGTCTCTTATTCTATAGAGTGCTTAATTAAGCTTAACGCATATTCTAGATTCTTTAAATTTATTAGGTAGTTTATAAAGTATAGAATTTTCTTTTATAATCTTTGCATTAAGAAATACTTCTATTATATTATTTTGCATAATCTTAAGATTAAAATAAATAGCTATTACTATAGCTATTTAAAAAGATCTTACTGCTAAAGTTACTGCGTAGGTTAAATTAAGTAAGTCTTTTTCTTAAAGATCTTTTTATATAACTATATATGCTTTGCACTTAAGCAGCATACTATCTTAATTAAACTTATAAGTCTAAACTTACTTTAATAAGATAAGTTAGATTATTACTTTGCTTATTAGCTAAATTATCTAGATATCTTTTTTGCAAAGTTATTTAATTTTTTTTCTTATTATAGCTTTAAACTATACCTTATATTTATATTAGCGTCAGGAAAACTAAAAATCTGTCGAATATTTATTTCTATTGATACTGTAGAATTGACTGTGTCGCTAGCGAGTTGATCGATTCGAGGAATTTATGTTTGTTATCAAATATACTTTGAAACAAAACTTCGTCGAAATGGTCGGTACTGTCGGAATTGTCGGAACCGTCGACGCGACGGTCTAGCACGCAACTTTACCGTCTTCAACTGTTATATTTTCTTTCTCCCTACCTACTCTGTCTTCCCACCTGCGCTATTGAAGTTTACTTCTTTAATATACTTTCCTTAGTATCTTACTACATATTTACTTCTTTCTGCATTGTAACCAGACATCACAGATATCACTAGAAAGAGCTTTGTTAGGATTGTTGGTAACATGAGAATTATTCTATTACTATGCTAGTCCTGCATTCCATACAGTCATCTACTGTTAAGCACCGTTGAGCACCGTTGAGCACCGTTGAGCACCTTTCCTAGCAGTGCGCCGGACCTTAGCAGAGTGCTTCTAAACTCATGACAATCGGTTCAGTTTGATGCCAGTCCATGCGTTGATCCGTAACCGTCGATCCTCCACCTTGTAGTTTATCTCGGGAAGTTGTTTTGACGTCCTGCTTGCCCAGTACTTTGAGTTCCAGTTCACTGTCTGGGTTAAAATAGACAATGCCGACACACATTTCTGCCAACTGGCCGAGTCGGTACACTCGGAACATGAATTGATCCTGTGTGTTCTGCCTGTCTTGCGGCTCCATGATGACGACGTGCGTAGCTTCTGTCAGTGTGATTGCCTCTGCAAATGCCATTGAAGCCACCATGATCCAAGGCCCATCTGGATCCCTCCATTTAGCAAGCTTGAGGTTGATTTCGTGCTGTGTCATACCTCCCTGCATGACCAAGACGCTCTCGTCACCGAACTTCTCTCTCAAGCCTAGCCACGTCACTGCCTGCACGATTGGTTTATACGACCCTATGAGGATTTTGGCGCGGACTTCCTTTGGCGGTGGTGGTGTATTAGCTGCTTTCGCTGCATCTTCTGCTGCAATGCTCCATGTCCGGCTTGGCGTTCCTAGAATTTCAACCTCAGAGCATAAATTCGATAGGTTTTGAAACTTCGGGCTGCTTTTGGTTATAGCACGCGCCTCTCGTACTAGGAAATGGTCCTTGCTTGGGTTGGTAAAGAGGTCCTTCACGCTGTTTGACGTGAAGCGTTTGACTTTGCGGCTGCCGTATGTTTTGAACTGTGCTGCCTTTAGAGTAGCAAGCGCAGGGTAGGATGCTATCGCCTGCATCTCGAAGCGGTTGAAGATCACACGTCTGCTAGCTTCTGATTCATCAAGGCCTTCTTTTTCCAGGATATCTCTGCATTGTTGCTCAGCGTTTTGTACCGTGCTGAGGAAATCTGGACATGGGCAGCTTTGGAAGTAAGGCAGGAAGTCGCCCTTAATGCCGGATATTGGTTTGCCCCACGGGTCGCGCGTCTTCAATGTTCTTTTCAACATAAACCTCTGCGCTACTGCTGCTCCTTGAGATATAAGTTCTTTATACTCATGAGACGACTCGTGTTCGCTTGCGTCGTGCTTTACATTGGCAATCATATTGCGCCATTGTTTAGCCATTGCTAGGCCATTGAGGGCTGTGTTTTGGCGAGTCCTGTGAGATGGTGTCTCCGCAATCGACCGGTAGACTGCATCTTCCATCTTATAGATGCGATCGCCAGTCACGGAGTCTCTCTTGTCGGTAGCGTTGAACCAGTTAGAGACCCCTTTCCTGTTTTGAAGGCCAATGAGTGCTAGCGACACGAAGATCAAGATCTCATTCAGTCCTTGTTCCATAGGCGTTCCGGACAGGGCCCATGCTTTCCATTGGTATCCGTGGTTGTGGCTTCGAATATCCTGGTAAAACTTGGCCATGATTGTGCCCTCCGACTTGCAATTGTGGAATTCATCGAATACAGTCCGCCCCCATACAGTGACATGACCAGGAAGCAGTATCGCCCTCTTTTCCACATGAGGGCCGCCTTTGCGTATGATCGTTCGCTGTGCCGTGACGCTCATAGTGTTGTAAGCCCTAAACACATGCTTGTCTACCTTTCCGAAGCCGCAGACTATCACAAACCGTGCTGCTGACGGTGCTGGACGGTGCTTCGTAGCCTCAGGGTGCACAGCAGGCGTGTTCGCTTCCGGTATTGTCCAGTAGACTGTTTCTCGATGATCCACGCCTCCTAGCACGTAGCTCCGTGGGGCGACTAACTTATTGGCGGCAGCGAGCGCTTTGGAGATAGCGTCAGTGGTATCGATTCGCATCTCCATTGCTTCCTCTTTCGTTGGTCTGCCCATGTTCTCCGGGGGAGAGTCACTAAAGAAGCAGAACCGTAGGGCCAGCGGATCGCTTGGGTCGCACCACGTGGAGTTTGCAAGATCCATCGCGACTACCTCGTTCTTCCAGGCATCAGCTGCTCGCCCCCAACCAGTCATCATTGTGGCTGCTTGTCGAGGTTCGGCGTTGAAGGAGGGGCTCCTTTCGCACGCGCAGTGGAACGTTCTCTCGCCTTCAGTAGGACATGGCTTGTCGTCATCGTCAACTGCGTTGTGTTCTGTCGCGTCGCCTTCTGCTCGCGCATTTTGCACTTCCGTCCAGTTCTTGAAGTGAACGTGTCCCATGAGGACGGCGAGCACCATCGCTCGCGTTTTGCCCATGCCCATGGCGTTGGCAAAGATCCCGCCATTGTCAGATGACAACTCTTTGAAGTAGAGGATGTATGCGTCTGTGAGCTGGTATGGGGTGAAGTCGCAACTAACCCCCCCAACATGCCGGTAGCTTTATTGTGCGCTTGTTCTGGAGGTCATCAATCGAAACGCCAAAGAATACTGCGGCCGAAGTCCACTCTTCCAGAGTGCAGTGTTCCATTGCCGTCCCCACTCTTGCAGAGAGAGTACCGTCCCTCGTTCTAGTTTGGTTTGTTAGCAGGGTGAAACAGTGGAGTGACTGTCTTTCACTGCGTGAACTTTATTTGGCGTTCAATAAGGGTTTTGACGCCTTTTCTTTTTGTTCTCTGGCAAGGTCCTTTGCTGTCGTTGCCTCCTCGTCCTCCGAGTCATCCTCAGGGTCAATGTCCGAGCTGCTGTCTGAGCGGTAGTCGTCGCTGTCTAGCGGGCCATCTGGCTGAGTCTCGCGCTCCCGAGCTTCTTTCTCCTCTTTCTCTTTTTTGGCCTTAGCCAGCTCCTCTTCGTCCCTGGTCTTCTTAAGCTGCGCTTCCTTTCCTAACCGCTTTCTTTCAGCTGATCGAGCGCGGGCCGCTGCTCTGTCCCTCCTGCGTGGGCGCGGGACGTCGCTGCCAGTGTCGGAGTCCTCTGAATCTTTGTCTTTCTTGGTTCTTCCCCCGCTTGCTTTTGCATGTCTGCTGTCCGCTGCCTCGGTCTTACGGCGCTTGAGGGGAGGTCCGTCTGGTATAAGTTTGGAATGTCGGCCTCTCTTCTTGGGTGGTGAGGGCTGTTCTGGTGGTGAGGGCTGTTCCGGTGGTTCGTCAGGTTGGAATGTTACTGCATATAGATGTTAGTGGTGTATATTTCAGTTTTGAGGGTTCGTGCTATACCTTTATTAGAATCGCCTGGCGGTTTCGTTGTCTGGCATAATAGCATCACTGCTCCGAGCCTCCTCGACTTGATATGAGAGTTGACGGTGCCTAGCAAGTCGTCGTCGTCCTCAATGAGCGTCATCGTCAACGCATCCATGACCTGAGAGGTGCCTGCTTGGTACCAATCGGAGTACTTGGGCAATGACAAATGCTGGATGAGGGCATCGTACTTGAGGTGCTGGGCCCTAACCTCAAAGTAGTTCTCCTCCAATTTCTGCTGGCTTTCCTTCGTCATCAGCCTGAACATGGGGAATTGTTTGACGACAGAGTGATGCACAGCGTCTACTAAGGCAACATTGGCGTCATTCAAGATAGCCGGCTCAGTGAGTGATGCAACGCCGAACTTGTCGGTTATCGACGCTGTAGACCTGTTGGACACGACGGACGAAGACCGTCGCTGCGCCGTCTCAGACAGTGTCGGCGTTGGCGTGTTGCTCGGGTCCTCTGTCTTGACCTTGGCGCCGTACTGACGCACCTTGGCTAGCATCATCGTCCAGATAGTTCCGGCTGCAGCCTCGTGGAAGACTTTGGGTATTTGCGCATTTCGCAGCCGTGTACATTTGGCTACCGCAAGCCAGTCCTTTGACGTTGGTGAACGCAAGCTCTTCAGAAGCTGCGATTGGCTCTTTTCTGATTGGATCTTCTCGAGTAGGTCCTTTTTCTTGACATAGCTTGTAAGGTCCTCTACAAGTTCAACAACCTCTAAGGTCGTGATCCCATATCCTTCTCTTACATTCGTTTGTGACATGCTGTTGGAGCTTGTCGTGTTGGCCTTGCTCTTGTACCACTCTGGTTGCTTCGGCGGCGCCCATTCTGTGTCGCTGTCATCGTCGCTGTCACGTCCGGCCATAATAGCTTCGCGCCTGGAGTAGAAGACGGTTCGAGACCTGTGTAATCGTTGGACTGTTGCTGAAAGTGCGTGTTAATATGT